GCTGGAATACTTTAACTCACATCTGCTTAATAGTCTCAGGGTTTAGAGAGAGTTAGAGCTAAACTATGGAGAGCTGCAGCCCTCCAGGAATTAAGTTTGTTATAAACTGTTATTTTTGTTATGCAACATGCAATCTTACATCCCCTCTGACTGTTCACTGATGTTGTGAAACACAAAACACTTCTATAAATGGGACTATGAATGACAACAAGTACTCAATGACCATATACCATGTAAAACTGGTCAAAACGACACTTCAAATACAGGACGATAGTAGACACAGACATGAAGTAGTGACAAGTGTCACTGAGGATCGCTCACCTGACTTGCGTACTGTTCCTGGTGTGTTGCTCCCTCCTCCTGCAGGTTGGCCACCTGGACCAGGAGAGCCTGCTTTCTTTGTCAAGAGACTGTTGAAGAAGTTAGCCAGGACACCCTCACTGGTCTGACCTCCTGCCACCAGAAATGACAAAAATTAGCACAACAACATGAGCTGAAACTCCAGCAGACATTAACCTGAACTATTTGCTGATCAGTGTAGCATCCACCAGAATTTAAAGAAATAGTTCACCTAAAACTGAAATTTCCGAATCATTTGCTCATCTGTAACCACTTGACTTCCATAGTTATTGTTTAGTAATTGTTTTTTCCCCACTATAGAAGTAAATGATATTCAGGTTTCTCATACAGATGTAAGCTTTTATGCAGCAAAAAAAAAAATGTAAAAATGAATTGACCATTGCTGTATACGGAAGGGTCAGAGAAAACTAGGATTTCACCTAAAATACTTAGGGTGCTTTCACACTATCCTTTTTGGTCCACACCCAGGTTAGTTTTACGTCAAAGTACAGTACGTTTAGCTAGTGTGAACATGTCTTCTGAACTCGGGTGCGCACCCATGAACGGAAACCGAGTTTTCCTAAAAGAGGTGGTCTGGGGTACGGTTCGTGCACACTCTGGTATCGTACCCAATAATGGAAGTGAACCGGCAACTATAGAACAAACTTAATATTATTAATATTGAGTTTTGAGGTGAACTAACCCTTTAAATGCCCCAATATACTTAAAGTAAAAGTGAAAAATTAACCAGTATAATTTTATTTTTAACAAAATCATCTACACATAACAAGGCCAATGTGGATTTGGAAAGGTTTAAACCAGCTAGTGAACACATTAAAGCTCTCATTGCTACACAGTGATACTCTAATATGTAGCTGTCTTTGTTTTTTCTGTTGTGAAAATAAGTAAAATATTGTTGTGAAAAAGTGTCTGTTTAGTTCATAGAGATGAATCTGAAATAAAAGCATGCACACTGGAGAACTACTTTATTAAGGAAAGCAGCAAAGACATAATTTTTTATGTTTAATGCTGTAAAGCAATTCACTGTATGAAGAGATATATGAATGAATTTGACATGGAATCCTGCAAACAGATCGACATTGCTATGATCAGACGCAGATCTGCTGTCCTCCTACTGTGGTCCTTTTTTTGTTGTAGTGTATTACTGAAAGAAAAGCTTTTGCACTCTATAATTTCAGGATGTAGCACCAGGTCAAAAAAATTGAACTGAACCTAAGAACTTTTTCTAATTTCACCATCTCATTAGTTGTACCACCTTCATAATTTATATTAAAGAAAATAAAGTATTCATCTAAAAGCTGTTCTCAGAAGGTTGCCTGTGTCAGGATATTCGCTACAGCAAAGTACTGCACAGGTATTAATAACTTACTTTTAGTCAAAGGCAAAGAACGAAAAGAACTATGTTTCAAGTATATCAGGGACTTAAGCTGGAATTAAAAATGAGTGTAAACGAAGCAAAGTCGAAATGAAAGTCTCTGAGAAATTCGCCAAGGAATCAAGCTTTAATCCTAACAAGCTCTCTTAATCCTCTCTGAACATGGCAGCAATTTTCCTATGATCTAAACCCGTGAGAGTAAAGTCCACTTCATCTGCATACAGGAAGATATCCTGAAACAGTTTATGCAGATGCTGAATGTGCATTTTTACAAATCTAGGCCATGTGTCAAATGGCAAATGTTACATTTGTCTCAAAATGAGAAAACCAGACCCAGAGACTGAAAGAAAGAAAGAAACCCCCTGGTGTGACTCCAAATGTTGTTGCAAGCCAAGAGGAAAAATAGAGGATGGGTCAAAGTAGGAAAGAGACAAAGAAGAGAAGAGATGGAGACATGCATCCTACACACGCTGCATTCTTACACACCTTTCATGTTGGGATCAATCTTCTTGGTACCTGATTGCATGGGCATGACGTTAGCCACGTTAGCTGCTGCTGAACGATTGGTCGTCCTTGGTGAGCCTGTGGGAGCTCTGTTTGTTGGGTCCTGTTTGACACATACATAAATGTTTCTGAATTAAAATAATAAAAAATATTTGTGTCACACTTTATTTTGATGGTCCATTTATTGAATTTAAGTTACAATTCCTCTACATGCCAACTAATTCTCGTAAGATTATAAGTAGACCATTAGGTTTGGGGTAAGGGTTAGTGCCAGTTGACATGTACTTGCAAAGTTTCTTATAGTCAGTTAAATGTCTGTTGAAGGAGCAGTATCAATAGTTATTAAGCAGAACATTTACTAAAACTCAAATGGACCATCAAAATACAGTGTTACCAATATTTGCATGCTGGGACAACTAATAAAAGGACAATGATGAATTCACATAAAAAAATGAAAAAGTTTGGTTTAAGTCTGCTGAACGAATACATGCAAATTTAAAGGTCTAGCAACAGAAAACTTCTTTAACTAAAATACGACTCAACTTTGAGTAATGCTGTGGACTGATATGTAAATCAAGAGCATGTAAAACACTCACCACTGGTCTGCCTGCAGTAACTGGAGGCTGTTTAGATAACAGAGACTAAGAGAAGAACAAAGAGAGAAAAATGCATTAAGCATTTATACATTTCTTTATTCTAAAAATGATTTGATATGATCTGTATGATGAAGATGATTTATAGATGCTAATAAAACATCGCAGGTTACTAGTATTAAAAAGAGAGTGGCAATCTCACAATCTGTTTGATCTTTTAAAATCTGCTGAACGAGTTTCTCTATTTGAGAATTGTAAAGGAAATGCATTGACAAATAGGCAGCAAAACTATTGTTTTTAGTAATAAATAATTTGACTTACATAGTTTAAAGTCTGATGTTTGAGAAAATATAAGGGGTCACTAGCTGTATCAATTATTTCAGTTTTTTTAGGGATTTTAGATTAGATTAGATTAGATTCAACTTTATTGTCATTACACATGTACAAGTACAATGCAACGAAATGCAGTTTAGGTCTAACCAGCAGTGCAAGTGCAGGATACAGGAATAAGTTATAAAGTGCAGTTATAGAAAACTATGGTGATATTTACAGATGGATGTACTATGAACATTATATACAGGTTGGATAAGCTATGAACAGATTTACAATATATGAATATATATGCAGGTTGCTATTAATAATCAGTAGAGTGCAGATAGATAAACATGATTACAAGTGTATATGTTACAATATATGAATATATGTACAGGGATAGATAAACATGATGACAAGTGTATATGTTACAATATATGAATATATGTACAGGTTGCTATAAATAATCAGTAGTATGCAGATAAATAAGCATGATTACAAGTGTATATGTATAGTGGGTGTGTACATAATTACAAATGCCCATATGCAGTGGGTATGTACAGTTCAATAAGTAAACAGTTCAATGTGGTGCAGTGAATGTGCAAATTTTAAACGTGTAAATGTTAAACAAGTCAGTGTTGGAAACGTATCTTTATTTAGAGCAATTTATTTTATTTTAATCATTAAATTCAGTTTTCTCTATGATTTATCAGACTTTTTGGACATTTTCCAGAAACAGGGTGTGACACCAAAGGACAACAAAACTTAATATGTGAAACATATTCAGAAACATAGAAGGTGATGTCATGGGCCTCACAGGGTGCTTAAGTCACATGGTGATGAATGAGGTGCTTTTAACTTGCTCATTTAAAATGACCATATAGCGTCACACCAGAAAATATGACCTATCGTATAATGAGTGACAACGAAAATGCAACGTCAAGTCAAAAACCCATTATTGGTACATCTCAATTTCTGTAGGCATGCATCACTTTGACAATTATTTTACTGCCAGAAACAAACTTATATTTCAATTTACAACCCCACACACACCAAAAAATACACTGCTAAAAAACTTGATAAAAATGTACATGATAAAAATGTAATCATTTATTTAAATTTATTTATATTTAAATTTATTTTTATTACATTTAAATATATTATTTTTTTATCTACTGTCATATGCTGGTGTGTTAGTTTGTGTTTAACACCATGCCAGCTTTTTTTCTTCATGGTGAGAAAAAGTATATTAGAGAAATAGATTGTATTAAAGTTTTACAATTTATTTTAGATAAAAAAATCTAAAATTGTATTTGGATTGGTCATTTGCTGGTAATAAACAAATCAGTCTGAATTAGCTGGAGCACACAGGGACTTTAAAAATTACAGGCACCTAGTGTTTCATCATAGAACAGCAAAATATACAATACTACTTATCACTTTCAACAGTGTTATGCCATTATAAAGGTACTGTTTTTTGCTATTGTTATTTATTAACAAATTTATTGAATAAATTTGTTATTTGCCTAATGAATGGCATAAGGCTATATTTTTAATTTAAAACTTTTAAAAATGTAATAAATGTAATACATTTTTATTTTTAAAATAAGTATTAGTTCATATTATTCTATTATTATTATTCTAAATAATTATTCTAAATCTTAAAGATTTATTTTAGTACAACAAATAGTGTGGTTAATAACCCCAAGCAAGCGAATCCAGTTAATGGTTGTGCTTAAAATGTCACTAAAATGCAGTTTTTAAATCTCATATTTAAATAGAAAATAAGGTGAACAACTAAAAAAAAAAAGTCCACTTTTTGATTAAATTTTTTTTTTTAATTAATTAATTAAAAAAAAGTTTTAGCAGGCTGGCTAAGAGCCTGCATTGTACATTACTCCTACACATATGGGTATGGGAAGCCTTTCAGTTTAAATTCTTGACTGAAACTAAAAAGCTATTTTCAAATAACTAAATATATTCAGTTTTTGTTAAGTATAAATTTTAAATATATACAGACTATATGCAGAAAGAATGTTTTTTTAAATAAATTTTAACAATGCCCAAGAACATGATATAATTATTTAAACGTGTTTCCAGAACAACAACAAAAAAAATTATGATGAATATCATTTATAAAATGTGTAAAATATTTAAGCATTTAAAAAAAAAAAATGAATCAGCAATCAATACCTTTCGCCTCCAGATAACATAAGTCACAATTTCTATAGACCATTTTAAGGGGTGTAAACAACGACAATGGTCCTAATGCATTTCCTGTTTTACATTTTTCAATTCTAAAGCTTCCAAGAATCCTGAAAAGTCCACATATTTCAAATAATGTTACGACAGCTGTTTTTACATTGAGATATGATTAAATTGTTAAAGTTATTAAAATAGTATGACATCTAGGAAATGTCCATGGGCCAATGGCATGACCACATTAAAATGGTCTATAAAAATGCTGAAGGTTGATGCGACACTATAAACTGGATATTCAGATCTGACTGATAATCAGATTTATCCTCATCAGAAAAATTATACTTTAACGAAGGTAAACAAAACTGTTACATTGTTGATTTTAATTGTAATAATTAACCTATGTGTAAAGTATACATTTTTCCTACACATGACATATATTTGCAATCTGTAAAATAAATTGGGATTTAGATTTTTAATGATAATGCTAGATAGCAATAAGTAACTACCTGCAACTTTACTAGAAATACTTGGTCATCTTCAGCTTGAACTTCCTTCTCATGTACAAACTGGAAAAACAAATAAAAGAGAGCTATCGTTAACTACAGATACATAACTGCAACAACAACAAAAACTAAAGAGAACGCCTTTACCTTTCTAACTGGAGGTTTCACTATTACATCTTCAAAGCTGTCTTCTGCTTTTACCATCTGGAAATTTTCATGCAGGATGGCAATCTTTTTTTCATTGTCCCACCCTGATGGACTGAAAGCAGGACAAAGACATAAAATAAGAACATAAATACATTCAGAGTTTAAAGACTTTATTGAATACTGAATATTTTAGTAATAAACCAATTTGTTTCCCCTAATAAGATGTAATTTAGAGTGATTTCTAATATTCAAAATAGTAAATCTTAATTAGGGTGAGACGTGTGTATTATTCACTGCTAATTACTTTGACTGTAAAAAAATTAAAAATAAATTAATTAATCTAAAGAAACATTCAAGGTTTCCACTCTAAGCCAAATGTAAAATTCTCTGACTAACAAGATTAATTTCTATGACCCATAATGAATAAAAAAGACAACTGTTGTGTTGAGCAGTCCCTCTGGAATTTTGTGATTCTGTGTTTCATAAAATCAAGCAAATGGTGTTTTTTTTATTGCCTCAGATTTCCTGTATTTTGATTTGGCTGCTGTGCAAATGTTTGTACATGTGTTCAAATTTTATCTGTGCCATCTGCATTGCTTAATATAAAATAACATTATATTCATGCATAGAAAGTGCTCTTCAGGTGTGCGATACTTTAAGTTGTCATAGATATAGCACTGAGCTGTGGTTCTCCTTAGGTGTGTGACCACCTTTAGATGCACCATGGGACATTATCACAGTGCACATTCAAAAAAAGCCTTTGAACAAGGCTGCGTTCAATGTATAGATTAAAGAGTAAGCAAGTAAGTAATGTGTATTTGTATAGCACATTTATCATGTATAGCCATACACCAAAAGCGCTTCACAATCATGAGAGGGGGGTCTCTCCACTCCACCACCAGTGTACAGCATCCACTTGGATGATGCGACAGCAGCCACAGGACAACAGTGTTTGTGCGCTAACCACACACCAGCTATAGGTGTAGTGGGGAGACAGTGATAGAGTCAATTAGGTGGATGGGGATGATTGGGAGGCAAATATAGGTAAAAGCCGATAAATGCAATTTGGCCAGGACATCGGGGTTACACCCCTACTCTTTATGAGAAGTGCCATGGGAGTCAGGACCTCGGTTTGAGGTCTCACTTGAAAGACAGCGCTCACTGACTGTATAGTGTCCCCTTCACTTTACTGGGGCATAAGGACTCACACAGACTCACTAACACCACTTCCAACAGCAACCTAGTTTTCCCATGTGGTCTCCCATCCAGGTACTGATCAGGCTCAGCCCTGCTTAGCTTCAGTGAGTAATCGGTCCTGGGCTGCAGGGTGATTGGCTGTGGTAAAGATGTGTACTTTCTTTCAGTATTCGCTTCATGTATATTATATAGAAGCAAAGAATAAATAAATATACTGAAAAAAATTGCTGAAATTTAAAGCCACAAGAATTACAATTTTTCCCAAAAATTAAGAAGGGACTGGTTGAGCCCAACCTGTTGACTGCATTTGATTGCAAGTGGGAAATAAATAAAATAGCTGTGAAAAAAGCCTAACCATGGAAAAAAATTTTTTTTTGATAAAGATAAATAAAAATAAAAATGACAAACAAAAATTCCTGACATTCCTAAACCTTTTAAAATTTCACGATGTTGCTGAAATTCCATGACCTGTGGAAACCCTGAACATTGTAGATGGTTGCTTCTGACCTCATGTTAAGGCCCAATCCCAATTTTACCCCTTAGCCCTTCCCTTGTCCCAATTCTCTTTAGCTTGAAGGCATAGGGCAAAGGGAAAGAGCTAGATAACCTTTAAATGGAGATTTTTCAGGACCACAATTGAAACCAAGGGATGAGAAAATTTCTCAGAATACACCAGCTACAAAAACAAAATGGCTGCACAAGGAAGTCAGGAGATGCACATATTAGTCCTTTTTGTCATTATTACGAACTTTTACAACAAACTGCATATGTTTTGATACATTCATAGCCGAGCAAGTGTTTTACTGTCAACAACTTGCTAAAATAAAAAACGCTAAATTTCAATAAAAGTAATAATAATAATAATAATATTATTATTATATGGAATAATAATATTCCATAAAAATAACTCCTATATAGAAGTCCCACAACATTCTTTCACTCGATGACACTAGAGTACCCTGTCCGAAAATGCAGTGGCTTGGAATTAGGTTTTTACAATGTCTGGCAAAATGTTAATGTTGTTTTTGTGTGTTTACATTGATTAATCATGCCAAAGTGTAAATGCAAAGTACAGTTACGATCTTAATACCACATTATATCATTGTAATAACATGATATATGCCTTTAACGATTTCCTGAAGATAAATACCCAAAAGTAACCTAACAAGACTGTTGATCTAATATGAAGCCAGTGATTGCGATGACATTTGATGACGTGTGCAGGTGTTGTATTGGTGTCCCATTTCTCAGGGGTGAATTTTGAAGCCCCTCCACTTCACACTTTGTTTCAAGGGCCAAGGGGAAGGGGTAGGGGACTAAAAATAGAAATTGTATTGGGTCTAACTCCATCCTCCAAACACTTACATAAACACAGAGTCTTTCTCCACCACCTGAGCTGGGCTGTTGAACGGAAAGCCATATAACCTGTGAACGAGGTATTTATATAACAAGTCTAGATTCTTGTTCTCCTTCATGGATGTGTAGAGTAGTGCTGCTCCATCTGAAAGGTCACTTGTAAAGGAGAACATCAAGGTAATGTTACATTTAAGCTTTGAAGACTCTCCCTACTTACAGCTTTTTGAAAAGCAGCATTCAGTCAGGTCAGCGGATCAAGTTCAAGTATTAAATAAAACATTCAATGCAAAAACATGCATTGTTACTGCATTCAGACAAAAAAAGTTACACTACTAATATTTAAAGATAAAGCGAACATGTATATAACCTGATCCCCAGATGACTAAGATGTGCAGGGTAATTTGTAATCAACATTATTATTATTAAAGCTTTGATTTCGATGTGCTGCAAGGATACACTGCAAGCAGAAGCGTCGAATGTGAGACTGGATGAAGTCTAAGTGCTCGTCCTTATAATCGTGCTCCTTCTCCAAAGTGCTGATTGCATCACACTACAGAGAGAGGTATGAAAGAAAAACTTCGTTATTAGTCCATGCATGCTTTGATTTGATCAGGGTTTCTGCAGGTTTTACAAAGTTAAATGTAAGACTTAAGACATTTTTAAGACCATTATGAATAAAATTTTTCACTCATACAGGGCTAATTGCTAAGGAGTTTTTCGAATGGTCCGGATGGAAAGTATTTTTATTTGCCCATTTAAAAAACATTATAATTTATTACATTTAATTAAACAATATTAATTCAATTATAATAAAAATATATATTTTAGATATTTCTTAAATATTGTGTCAAAACAAGCAAGCTCTAGTTATAAGCAAGCATACACTTTTTTTCAACAATAAAAAAGGGACAAACGTTTTAAAAGTTTTAACCTTTAATAAAATAAATGTTTGCACAACAGTCTGTCCAGGTCAGTGTCCTCAGCAGTAAATACATAAGGAATTTTGAAACAACCATTATCCTAAGAAAAATAATTACATTTTTAAATAAAATTTAAAAGTTTTATTGAGATGAATTGTTGGTGATTGGATGGGTATCGGCCAGGGGTGCATTTCCAAAAACCATTGTTAACCAACTAAGGTCTCAAGTTCTGTCTTTACAAACATAATTCGTTGATTTGGCGTTTCCCAAATCCGTTGTTCCAATGAACATTCCAAAACTGCGTCCCACAATTGCATGCTTGCAACTACACCTCTGGAGCTGTAGTTAGAAACATAGTTTCTGGCCGTGTTCTATTCCCAGTTTTCTCCCTATGCCCTATTCATTTAGAACATTTCTAACATTTAAAATTGGAATGAATAAAGAACACTATAAAAGTCATCACTCTTAGGTGTAATTTGCTTTCAAAGAATTTTTACAGTTCAGTTTCAGCGATCATCATGTTTACAATTGCGCTCCCTTCACAGTGCACTTTGAAAACATTGATGTCATTTTGAACACAGCTGTTACTCATGACAAAAGCTGTAGGTGACCTATTACTCAAAAATGTATGTTACGTCTCCAAATCTTGTGAAAACAAGAAACATAGCATACGTTAAAAGTTTTAATTTATAGTAGATTATTTATTTATTATCTGTACTGTATATGACATGTGCCTGTTGGTTAGAAGATTTCTGCAGTGGTTTGCACGTGTCAAATTGTAAAAGTAGACTTTTAAAAAAAAATAAATAAATAAACAATATCCTACTTAATTATCATCATCATCATCATCATCATCATCATCAGTATTATTAAAATAGATTTTTTTCATTTCCTAATAAATAGTAAATATTAAATTTAATTTCTTAATAAATAGCATCATTATTTATTTATATATTTATTTTTATGTTTATTTATTATTTATTTATTTATATATGATAGAATATGTGTTAGCTTTGCAAGTGGTTTTATGTTTTAGAATGTTTGTAAAGGAAACATTATGTGCCATTTACATATATTTGAATTAATATGGAAAGAGAGTGCATGTTTTTACGAAAACTAATATTGAATTTTTTTTTTAAATGCATGTGCGTGTAAACCAATATAATTTGCACAAAGAAATTATGGAATTATTCTCTCAAGAAGTAGTTAGCACCCCATTTAGAGCATCATTGTGGGCAATTTACGTTATAACTAACGTGGTTCAAACGATGGATCTGGGACAGAGAAACTACAGGTTTTGGGAAACTCATTTGTTCTTTTCCCAATCGATGCATCGTACTATGATAAAAAACGCAAGTTCCATACAGTTCCAAACTTGCATTTTCCCTTTTTGCTGTCTGTTTCACTACATTGGTATAGCATCACATCACCTTCCCGCATTTGTCGCAAATACATGACATTATCCGGATGGAGGAGCTTGGCCGGACGTGCCCTAGCCCAAATCAATCGCATGGATCGAGCATGCCATTGTTATTATAAAGAGGAAAATAAATATAATGATGCTTTTTTAGAGTTAAACACTTAAGACAACACTTGAACAAAATGCAAGACATCGTAAAAAGCTACAGTATAAGGACTTTTTAATACCTTTTAAGGGCCTTAATTTTCTCATAATTGATTTATCAACTTTTAATACTTTTTAAGACCCCAGGGACACCCTGATTACACCCGCCAACCAGCCAAATGAGGGGTAGATTTCAGCTGTGGCAGGTTAGACAGACACCCCCATTAACCACTTTGGCTGGTTGAAAATAATTTTTAAATTGCCAGAACTGCCTCGTCCCTAAAGATTTGAATTTTAGTTTAAGACTGTATGTCAATATGCTCTTAGATTCGAAAAGCAGCATGACTGATAACTGTTCACGAGAGCAAAAGGAAGTAGGTGAATACTGAATGAGAGGATGATCAGGTGCACAAGAAGACACGGCGATCCTTGCTCTTTTAAGCGAGTGCTTAAAAGCTCTAGTTTCCTTGCAGCAAACAACCATGGAAATGCAACTGGTGCGATTGTTTCTCTTTAAAAAAAACATTTAAAAAAGCAGTACTTCCGCACCCACAGTCCTGCTGCTTTCAAGAGATCCCCAGATTTTTTGCCGCTTTCGCTTTTACCATTTTTGAACAGATTATTACTGGGCCTAACGTGATCATCCTTTCACTATTACACACAATGTTTTTCACCTGATTTCTTTTGCTTGCAGTTATTTTTGTTAATATGGTTTAATTTTCATCCTTTACAATAACATTGCTTTAATAGTAGATAACTCTACTAATATCTATGGTTAAATGATGATCTGGTACCTTTAGTCTGAACTACTGTGTATAGTTTTTTTTTTTTATTCTAAAATAATTTTTTTTAAATGTCAATTGTTTTTTTCAAGAACATTTTTGTTAAATAAAAAAAGTGTATGTATATAGCTCTGTTTAGCTTGTTTTGATACATTATTTAAAATGTGTGGCAAGGAAATAATTAGTTTGGTGCGGCCAGAGAAAAAAATAGTATTTCTTAAGTGCTGAGCCCTAAAAAGCTATGTAAAATAAAAAAATAAAAGTTACATTAATGAGGCATGTGAACATAACTTCAAATTTTAAAAGGAGTCATTTTTAACATGCCTAAGTCAAATTTATGCATATAAAATATATTTTCCCAAAAACAAAATTGTGGCTTATGAAAATGGTGTTGAAAAACTACTAGCCACAGTGGCTGGTAATCAAAAAAGTTAATGTCAAGCCCACATTATAAATATATACTAACATTATATAAATATATAGACAAGTATATATATTTTTAAAACAGTTAGTTTATTTCAAGCCCTTTATACAGTAACAGCTTTTTCTGATCAAATCAGTTGTATTTGATCTTTTAGATACATTTTATGTCATCACAACATAATAACAATTTGAGGCTGTTGTACCTTGGTGCAGACCACCACTATAGGCAGGCCTAGGTTGTGTGTGAGTGTGTTTTCTCCCAGCGGCAACAGGACACTCTCTTCATCTGACTCAGGATTCCTCCTCTGGGGCACAGCGTCCAAGTCACTTCCTGGTTCCACATATTCCTGGAACTGCTTTGTCACTGCAGACACAACCAGTCATAAATCACCAGTCAAATCAACTTCATTTCAGTTCTTCATTAATTTTCCTTTTGACTGAGTCCCTGTATTAATCTGTGGTGGCCACAGCGAAATGAACCCAAATGCATTTATAACAGTTTATTTAAATTGTCATTTAATGTCACTTTAACTCATTTATTTGAATTTATCAGCTTCTCAGGCTATGTTGCAGCAAAAAAAAAAAAAAAAAAAAAAACAGATCAAGCTTACCACATTTTATAAATATCACTTTTCAATAATTATAAAAAAATTCTAACAATAAAATGTAATCAACAGCAATAGATAATACATAAAATAAAATACATAAATAATAATAATGATAATATACAGCGCTCGGCATAATTGAGTACACTCCATTTAAAATATTAAACAGATATATTTATTAAAATAATATTTTAGTCACCATATTCCACCATATTTTTTTTTTGATTCTCTTGATTTTTCCAAATATTTTAATTTTTTTCTATAGTATTTGGACTTTTATCGTATGTTATTTTGCTAGATTAGCTCCAGATTTGGCTTCAGTACTAACTGATCTACTGTATATGCACAAAGATAATATTGTACAGCTTCCTATAAATATATATATATAAATTTGAATTTAAAAGATAAATTGGTGAGCGGTGTACTTATATCCGCCTGAGAGTCCGCCCATTGACTTGTGTCCTCTGTAGTGGACATTGCGTTTTCATGAATTTTCTTCTTTTTTTAGCTACTCTGTCAAGTCCTTTTGTACTGTTAAGAGGACATCCTGGGCTTTCTAGCGAGATGTCATTTGATTAGCTGGCATGCTTGGAACAGCTTCTTACACTGCATCCAAAATGGCTGACATACAAAAAAAAAATCACATTTTATAAAGGGAGAGAAGCATGTAAAATTTAGCTTTTTAAATGTTTTCTTACTATTATTACATATATATTTGTTTATTAGAGTGTCAAGAAAAATACATTTAGCTTTCAAAGCTGTTAACTTGTTTGTGTTTCAAAATATTATCATTGGTCCCACTTTATATTAAGTGTCCTTAACTACTATGTACTTGCATCAAAAAATAAATACAATGTACTTACTGTGTTCATAATGTATTTGAGAACACTTGTGGTGCTCTTGAGTTGGGATAGGGGTTGGGTTATGGACAGGTTTGCTGGTATGGGTAGGTTTAAAGGTGGGTAAAGGTGTAAGGGATGGTCAACAGTGTATTTACAAATGTAATTACAGAAGTTAATTACAGATTAATTACATACAGGTATTTAATCAAGCAGTACACAATAAATACATGTATTTACACAATAAGTACATTGTAACAAACTATTAATTTCTGTGTAAGTACATAATAGTTAAGGCCACTTTATATAAAGTGGGACCTTATCATTTTTTAAATGTCCACTATAGTGGACATTACTGTAATTAATGCCTGCATTTTGTAAGGGGCAGAACTGAAGCAGAGAGGATTCTTTATAAAATAGTTGAGGGAGACTCTGATTTAGAGTCAGACTATCAGACAATTAGAGAATTAGAGACAATTAGAGAATGAAATCAGTTTAAAATCACTTTTATGTTAAATTTGTTTTGGGATTTTTATTTATTTATTTATTTATTTTTTGAGTTTGGCTCTCTTTCACACTAAACTGTTTCAGGAATTTCAATACAAAGTAAAAATGGCTTTTGTTTTGTCTTTGTTAAATTAATATTGGATTATTATCCCTTTACAGCCATATCCTGTACAGTTTTGTTGTCTGAGTGGCGGTCGTTTTGAACTAAAATGGTCCTGTGGTCCACTACAGTGGACATGCTGTAAAATTAAAAATAAAAACATAAAATAAAAAAAGTAAAAATTCTAAATTGTAGATTTTTTTAACCCAAAGGATGTAGGAAATCACAGAAAAAAAGAAAAAAAAAAGAAAAAAAATTATTCGGGTCACAGAAGGATACATGCTGAGCACTGTATAAGATAAAAATCGAAAGCAGTTTCTTAAAGATTTTTTTTTTATAAAAAAAATGTTCAATTTAAGAAAGAATCACATTTAAAAATATTTAATTTAAAGTCTCGTCAGGTTAAAATTGTTGTCTGATAACATTAAAAATAGGGCATTCCACAAGCATATGTTTAACAGTTTGGTTTCTGTTACAATATTGACATTTTTGGGGTTCTTGGGTTTAATAAATCACTCTGGTCTAAAGCAGGGGTTCTCAAGAAATCCACAACATTAAGCTACCTATTATTGTTGTAAGGATAGAATCATGATCCTCAAGAATGGAAATGGAATTGTGATGTAAAAAGTCATTGGCAAAAATTTGATGAATAATAATAAAAAAGCAGCACATTAAGACTTGATCAAACTGCAATATGGTCTAGCGCAGTGATAGGGAACCTGTTGCTATTTGGAAAAAATTACATGGGTCTCCAGCAAACTCCCTTCAATAAAATCGTACGGTTTAAAAAAATGTAACTGTCACTAAAATTTAGTTCCCTATTGAAAATACAATTACAATTCAATATTGTAATTTGTTATGGCAAAAAAAATAAGAACTCAGTTAATAATAAAAGAACTTTTTGACCAAAGCGTGTGTGGCTCTGTGGATAAAATTGAATCGTGACACCAATACAGGGTAAACAACTTATGTTTCTATTGTAACCTCGCACACGTAATTTTAAAAAACATTCTTGAGAGGTGATAAATTGTCCTTAATTCCTTTTTGTTCAACATGTGATGCTTCATATTTATTTATTTTTATAGCATATAAAGTAGTATGTTTATTTACCCCAGTGGCTCTTTAAAAATAAATTTGCTTAAAAAATCAGAAATGGCTCTTTGCTGAAAAAAGGTTTCTGACCCCTGGTCTAGCATATGTGGACATTAATCTGATAATAGGATTAAGTCTGCATGTTCTGTGTGGCCCGTTTAATTTACTATATGCATGCATGATGCTCAGTGTAACTTTTTTTGCCAAAGAATAATAAAATTGTTGAAACTTTACATTTGAAATTACATTGAAAATACATTTCAAGATATGAATGCAGAAAAAGTAAAAAGGGAGCATTTCAAATGATCAATTTCACATAAACATAAAATATAAAGTTGACAAAACTTAAATTTAGCATTACTTTTTGATTATTCCATTTGAGTTAAAGCATTCAAACAAAAAAGAATTTGAACCAATAAAATAGAATGCAAGAAAAAATATACAGAATTCATTGGGTTTCATAAAATTGCTAAAAATGTAATAAATTACTGCTAAATTGTATAGGTTTTATGATTTTAATGTACCATCCAAACAGTTTAGAAAATGTATTACAATGTAACAAAAAATGTATCCTGAAAAATTATATTGTTAATAATGATAATACAAGTACAAACAGTAATAAGCATAAGCTTTAACCCCATTATAATTATAAGGTTGTCAAAGGAACATTTTCTCCCCGTAAGGAATCCCTTCCTCCAAAATGACTGAGTACCACTGATACACAAGAAGGTCTCATATCAAAATGCATCACCACACTAAATCAGTCCTACAAGGTATTTAGCATGCAAACACACTCACAATCTTAACACACACACACAACGCCACTACTCACATCTGTGCTCCAGTTCTCGCATGGTTTCAGGAGGAACTCTGAGCTTGTCCACAAAATCCCTCACCACACTGCCCCATTTCTGCAGTGAGTCGAGGGCCAGCCATGGCCGGGACAAATCCACTACAAACAGAATCAGCGAGTCCTCCAGGTTTTCCAACGATATAGCAAATTTCTGCAGACCTTTGTGGTACAAATCCCCATCTAGCACCCATGCGTTACACCGTGATTGATCTACCAAAACAAAAGTTTCATTAGGTTTACAATATTACATGAGGTGACATGGAAATACATAAGATTGCAAAAAATGCACACTCTAAAAAATGTTGGGTCACATATGGACAAACCCCAACATTGTTATTTAAATGTTGAGTGTTGTATTAGTGTAGGATATGAATTTTGTTCTGTTTGGAAAATTCAAATAAATATGTTAAATGCATTGTACATATTATTCAAGTACATAAGCAAGTACCTATAAGCAAAGAAGAAATGGTTTGGTGCCTAAACAAATGTTTAGTCTGTCTCCTTTTATTGGATTCTGGATAAATCAATTGGATTCTGGATAAAATTGCTTTGAATTATTGTTATTTAGTCACATAAAATTTGTATTTACATGGTCACAATAACAAATATTATTAACATAAACTGTAAAAATTATATTTTTCTATGAACACGTTTTCATATGAAAGACGAATTAAATGATAATGTATACTGTAATTTTACATTAAAGAGACCCTATTTTGCATTATAAAAAGTCATATTTTGGTTTTGGGTGTCTCTGACAACAGGCTGATATGCATGCAAGGTAAAAAACACTTTCTTGGTCTTATAATATGCATTTATTTTTACCTAATTGTCCCAACGACTTCCATTTGATTCGTTCAGCGATTCGTTTGTTCCCTAACCCCTACTTAGCATAAAGCTGACCTGCGCTGATTGGACTGATGACCCAGTTTGTTGTGATTGGTTGACTGCGTTTAGTGCAAACAGAGAGAAATGCCCACCATGGCTCATCAACAATTTTGAAGAAGTTAGAGTGCAGAGTGTATGCGTGAACCCAACTCAGAAGTGCATTAAAGCAATGCAGTTAAACATCAGCATATTATTCTACTCTTAACGCCAACCCCAATAATAACAATGGCATACATTCAGTATTAATTCACAGTGGCAAAAGTTGAACTATTCTCAAAATTGACCGTGCCGCATGTGTGAGAACAGCTGATGGTGGCCATAGCAAAGCCAAACAGCAGAAGATCGTGAGCTCAAAAACACATTTAAATCAGTAAAGGACACAATATGTGAATAGCCCCATGAAGGTTTAACCTGAAAGATACAGTATAAGCACTGCATAATAAATAAGTGATTACAAGACGCGTGGGGCGATTACCACTTATAACACGCAATAAACATATATTTTGCAAACTTCACAAAATGAGGCAATGACTCAGAGAAAAAAGAAACTGGTCCATATGAACTATAACAGTTACTGACAAAATCCCTGTTAAAGTCTGACAAAGCTTATTCCTCTGCAGCTTATTCCTTTAATAGCAACCGGCCGGCAGCGTAGGTTATTGTATCCAAAATCAGAAAAATGACAGGAACAAACACATCACTAGGTTGGCTATACTGCGGTATTGTTGTGAAAATAAACTTTAACCCTTTATTCCCTCCAGTCGAATCTACATATGACAGTAATCGTTATCTTCACATCATGATCAGTCCCACAATCCCCCACGCTCCCCTAGCGTCTGAATGAAAAGCACTTTCATTTTTACCGGATCTGGAACTACATATTTGGTGATGTAAAGTAGCAGTGTCGATGGGTTTGAGCAAAAGATTTGAATCCAACACGATTCATTTATTCAACTCGAGTCGACTATTTATTCTGTCAGTATGCTCTTTCATTTTACTTCAGCATATGCATGTTAACATAGACTCGCTTTTAAATTAAGAAAGTAAAACCAACACCATTGTTAGGAGCTGATCATACTGAACGCGCTTTTACTTTCCAAAAACGCGAGGTGCATCACATTGCCTTTTTTGTTGGCAAGAAAAAAAAAAAAGCGAGGTGCACTTTGTATGTCACTAGGCAATGACTGAATCAGCTGCGTAATGTGTTTGAGTGTTGCTGTTGATATAATTTAAATTTTTAATTTATCGTTATATTCACAATTTGATTCATACAGCTCTGGATAACTCAAAACAGCAATCACAAGGGTCTCCTCCATCTTCAAAACTCTTTGTAGTTGTCTTGGTAACACAAACACTGATTTTTGACAAAGCCTTTGCTTTTATTTGACTGGAGAATGAAAAAGATGCAACTGATGTAACGCGCTTTTTCCGCTCAGAGTAGACTTTTTTCCATTGCGAAGTGCATGGTGCACAATGACAAAAATGGTAGGCATGCAGGGCGCATAAGCATTGCACAAAAGGCTCGCGGCCATTAGTAAACCATTTAAAAAAGGCGCCTCTCAATGCAAAAAGCGTGTTCGGCGTGATTGGACTCTTACTTGTTTTATGTTTTTCCAAGTGCTGAATCAGAGCTGAAATTCAGATATAGTTACCGACACAGGCTGTAGATGGTAAACTTCCACAACAAACTGAGCCATCTAACCAACACTTAAGCAGAGTATGCTTTTTAAAGGAGAGGTTTAGAGAAATTGGATCCTTAAACTGATGCAGATGATGTAACAATAGAGGTGATGCTGCAACGTACATTACAAGACAGGTCAATTGTTTTTGACCTTGGACAGATGTACAACTTTTAAAGCTGCTCTATAAGGTATGAAATGATGATTATCGTGCTTAAAACTAATTGATTGTGATGATTGTTCTGTCAGTATTGTTTTTTTTATTTCACTTCAGCATATGTATGTTAAAAACAGAACATGAAATATTTAAATTTCAAAACAAAAAAAATATTCTGGTAAAAATGAAACTTTTTCACAACAAAATTAAACTAAACTGTAAAAGTTGTATATACACCAAACAGAGTATGTATGTATTTGTACGACACACTTTACACTTCATGCTTTGGCTAGTAACCAAACCCATCTACATTTCCAGGTTTTATCATAATAGTGTTGACTTGGAATTAACACAATATAATGACAGGATTATTAACCAAAGTTAATACAAACTTCAACAACACCACTTCAAAACACAACAGTGTTAAAAACCGCCAGTCTATTGACTGGTTGCAATAGATCACAACCAGCTATCTATATAGACAATGTTTAAATTCTTACCATCAATATCATCATCGTGAACATTGAAATACAGGTACTCTAAGCCTCGTCCCTTCATGTACTCTTCTACACCTTGGAGTTTCGCAACCAGGGTGGTCTTACCAGACCCTACTTCACCTGTTAAAAGGTCATATTAACACAGAGATAAATATATTAAACATTTAGGAGATACATTTGGATCCTGAAAAATAAACTGGATATATGCATACTGAATTACTCACTCTCTGCTTTTACAACTACATGCAAGCATAAGCAAATAAAAACAACGGATGGACTGTACACTGTTTTTAATGTTCATAAAAGCATATTACTAATTTAACAAGATGAACTGATCCACAATGTAGATTTGAATTCAAGACCTGTAACAGATTACAAAATCTTTAATAGACATTTAGTCTATGAAATAATTATATTCTTGCAATTACTCAGTTTGTGCTGCACGCACAATATAAAAAAAATGCAATTGCAATATTTTGTTTTACTGCAATATAAATAGAATTTTGCTATTTGGAAAGATTTCATGAATTCAGATTGACTGGGGTGATCAAGTGTTTTTCTATGCAGAAATCTGCATAAAATATAATCAATATTTTTCATATGAGCAATTCAGCGTTATGGATGTGACATTTGCAGTGAAAACTCAAAACATAAATTCACAGAGAAAGTACAGTATATGTTAACATTATATTAAAACATCTGTTTATATTTTCCAAAACAAGTAACCACAGAATTACAGGATCATAAAAATATCAATATGCAATCATTTTTTATACTTTAAATGGGGGAAATAATCTTGCGTTATGGATGTGTCAAAAAAAAAAAGTCTGTGAGTTTTTTTTACACACTTTGTAAAAATTCTGTCAATTAAACTGCACAACTAAAAAGAAATTATGTTAATCAAAAGGATAAGAGCTGGCTCACTATAGAACAAAAATTATTCATTTTATTTTATTTGACATTTTTGCATTTATGAGGAAAAATGCCGTTATGGATGTGTTGTCTCTCCATTATATGTGACCGATGTAAAATTGCCACTTGTGTGACTTTGTCAATGTTTTCAAACTTTTATATTTGATTTACCAGAGACATTTTTGAGCATTTCTAAAGTACTGTAAAATACTTGTTTAAAAATTAAAAAACAAAATTGTAACAATCAAGCATGGAATAACATTGTCATCAATGTATAATAATGTTGTACAACAATATCTTAATCTTTAATAAATAATCTAGTCCTACAATGTGACAATTGCGAATATACACATTGGGATATTGATGTTCAAATGATTTATTGTTCAGACCTACTAAGAGTCAATAATAAGACTTTAGCAAAATAATGCTGAAAACAAAATATGTTACTAAAAATCAAAATGTATAATGCTATGTTTTCATTTTTGACAGGTGAAGTCTTAAATGTCCTAATCTATTATATTCAATTTAAATGAACAATTTATAAAATTAGATATTTAAATGCACACTTAATTTACCACTTTCGAGAATTTCTTCAAATACACTTCAAACACATTATGTATATTAGTATGCAAATTTGTAAAGAAAAAATACCTCACAATAATAATACAGTTTTATATTTGTATTAAATTCTTTTATCCAACAAAGTCTGTATGACAAATATGTCTGACGCCACCCATTGATACTGCAAACAAGAGCCAGTCACTGGCTGTGTTTAAAAAAACCTTGCGAGCTGCCTACATAGACAGCATTATCGTTTCTAAAAGACAACGAGACAGCACTTTCTATTCATTGCAAGCACATCTGCTTTGTTATTAGCATGTTATGTAGCAGTCTTGCATTTAGTTCTTCGGAACACTCCTATGGTGCTGTCTAGATAGGCAACACGAAAGCATTTGAGACACGTCCAGTGTCTGAGAGTGCGGATTATCTCTATTCACCCGACAGTGTATACCATATGCAAACCTTTATAACGGAATTTAATGTCACATTATAAAAATGGTAGATAAACTCAAAGGACAATGTTTTTAGAGCGAGCGGGGACTGACAGCGATGAATGTAACGTTAGACAATGACGTGTGCTCAATAACAATAAACGTGTGCTCAATAACACACTTAACGTACAATCACATCAGTGCACAGGCGGAGCAAGCGAGTTGTTACGTTCAAACCATTGCGTTTACTTAACGCTGTTATGTTGTTCAACGATAACCAGCCAGTGGATGCAAAACAATGGGATGCAGAACACACATGAAACAGCATTTTTGCGTGACAGAGGCAAGAAAAACACCCACCCATGACCACCACATTTTTTCCTGACGGCAATTTTGATCGTGAGCGCGTCGACACCTCACTCAGTATCGATGACCTGAACGCAGAGGAACATAGTGTGGCATTAGATGTTAAATCACAATGCTTTTAGAAACATGCATCAGTGAGATCATTGATTCAGGCTGGCCTGTGTACCTGCCCGGCTGGGGCAATTTGCAAGTTAGCCGCTAACAACTGTCACATGCTGCTCTGAGCCATATAAATCTGCGTTCTGACCATACACCCAAGATTGAATGGAGGATAAAATGTCCGGCTAAGCCTACCATAAATTCTGTCCATCCTCCTCCTCGGGGTTTTGGCTTTCGGAAGTGCTGTTATTTACATTTGTGCTAACCGATAGGAGTGTATTTCTGCCCGTCGTCGCCATCTTCGCAGGCTTGAGTGACACCCCTGAAAGAGCCCCGGATGTTTCGCACAGAACCGAGCGTTGCTTTTTTGCTGGGCGTGGACCATGGCGAGCCGCAATCACAGTCCCAAATCTCAGGTGAATAGAATAGAATAGAATAGAATAGAATAGAATAGAATAGAATAGAATAGAATAGAATAGAATAGAATAGAATAGAGCACTTCTAAAGAAATCTAAAAATCTTTCTAAATTGTTTCACAAAGAATTCTTTACATCTATTATCATTTTCATTGCTTAAAGGTTCTCAACAGCTTTAAAAATCAATACGTTTCAGATTCCTATTATTAAGGATTATTAAAATATTGAAATGTTATAAAAGGCTGGAAAGCGCTGGACGTCCAGGTGGGAGAGGTCACCAACTTGTGTACAGGCTGGCCCTTCAGGATCAATGCGAGGATTCGTCTGTCACTGTGGTCTTACAAGGATCAGTCTCATGCTCACCACTCCTCCATAACCATCACAGCAGTTGCTCAAAATACAGCCTAGTCAAGGATTATGAAAACCTCACATTCACATTAATGACCCAAAATTCACATTCCTTTGGCAAAGTCCCTGATTTACCAGGGGTCCCCCCAGCTGAATGAACCACCATTTACTCTGGAATATGTTTTATCCGTCAGATGCCCTTCTGGAAACACCCAAACTCAAACCACTCAAAGCAACCTTTTTAGTGTTAGGTGACGTGCATTCAACTGAGCCACCGCTCTGCCCTGAAATTAATCAAATACCACAGGCCTGTATAAGGGGGTTTGGGTTGTTCGATAGACCCACCCCTCACTGACAAAGGTCGAGAATTTGTCCCAAACATTAGCTCATTTATTCTATTTTGACTGCTATGTCATAATAAATTGTAAATATAACACATTGAAAAAAGCTTTAAGACCAAGCGGAATCCTGTGTCGGTCATTGGTACAGAACCTGGGACAACGAATTTGGCAGTTTTGGTGCCAAATTTAGTGTCTCAAATTCTGACTGAAGAAAGTTTAATGTGCTGGCCAGTTTGTAATTTGCTTTCACTGTCAGAAAAAAGGTACACAAGGGTATACAGATATCTTTTGTAAACATAACTTAAAAGAATATGTTTAAAGAAACTCATAAACATTAATTATTAAGTTCCATACAAAACAACTGATAAAACAAAACTAAACATTTATGACATTTTAATAAACATATGGTAAACATTTTCTGAAAAATACATTTTCATTATTGATATCCACACCTTTTGTTTTTCCCCCTATGCACATGAGCTAGCAAAAGTACTGCATATGCAAAGTGTTCATGCAAACATTTTATTATTGTAAAACTAATCAACATTGTGCATTTCTCGTTACAATACTTTTGCATAATTCTATTTCCATTTTATAATAAAGTTAATTAAAATACTTTTAAGTGATTAGAAAAGGTATTGTGTGAAAACTGGCAAACAAATTGTTATATTGTACATGAGAGAATGTATTTCTGTAACATTTTTGTTAACAGTGTTGTGAAAAATGTTAAGCAAAAACATAAATCTTTAATTTCTGTGTGAAGTATGTTTTATTCTTTATTGTAAATTGAAAATGTGTATTTACACAAAAAACTTTTATTATGAACTGAAACCTTGTTTAAAAATGTATTTGATGTTTTATATTTACTGATAATAAATTACAAATTTTGGATATGACAAATTTGTTTCTTTGTCTTAAGGCACAATTCTGTTGCAAGGTAGAAAAAAATTACTAATGTTTTGCTTCTTACACTTTACATACCTGAAACTTGCCTACAGCACTTATTCATTGTTGCTCTTATAGTTGTGTAAATTGCTTCCTTGTCCTCATTTGTAAGTCGCTTTGGATAAAAACGTCTGCTAAATGACTAAATGTAAATGTAAGGTACTGCCCCAGTGACAAGGGTTTTCACCGTTTTTTTACAACATTGTAACATTTTTTTCTGAGAGTGTAATAAATGATAATAGGCTACACTTTTTTGTTTAAAAACAAATTTCTATTTTCTCCTAATGATATAAAATGTAATAAATTAGTATTTTTAAAACAAGTGTTGTATATTTTTTGTATATATTATTGTATTATTTCTTAATTCTAAATCTTCAGGAAATGCTTTTGGTACATCAAAAAGTGTGACCATGTGACAAGCTAATCCAGTAAAAAAGTGCTTAAAATGCAGTATTTACACCTCATAATTAAATAGAAAATGAGGCGAATAACTGCAAAAAGGTCCATTTTTTGAGTAAAAAGAACCACCTCTTTCGTCAGGCTGCCTACGGACCTATACCACAAATAGTAATTCTATTCTATTCTATTCTATTCTATTCTATTCTATTCTATTCTATTCTATTCTATTCTATTCTATTCTATTCTTGTCAAGTCTCCATGAACACATATCTTTTTGTGCCCGAAGGAGCATATTATATCGCTCAATAAATTTTTTTCTACAGCGCATCTGTACCAAAAACATATACCTATTTTGCGACATGTTGTACCAAACTAAAAAAATATTCACCAGACAACCACACACTCAACAATTCACAATCAGTTTACTCGTCCTACTGGATTTGTTTAAGGCCAGACCCCCAAAAATCAAATACAACCATTTACTCTCACTATATGCCTGTATGGGGATTAAATGTAATTTGCAGAACTAACCGCCAGAGTGCAGGGTTACACTGTATTTGCGCCATGTACTTCCTCTCCAGCGTTGACAGTAGGACTAAACAGTGAAGTTAAGTGGAGTGCGCGCGCGTGCCCTGCTCTTATGTGGAGAGAGGATCCTGCAGGTCGGACTATCCATCACCTTTAACGCTCAACCCGATGGAGCTGCATTTTTTTATGACGGCTGAAAATCTAAACATGGAATCAGATGGAAAATGAGTCCAGTGCGTAAACTGCACTCAACACAATCTTAAAACTGAGGAACTTTTTCTCGCATACCTTGGGATTTGTTCTTATACTTAAAACAGTGGGTAAGTTTTGTGCCTTTATAAACAATGTACCTCATAGTTTTGCATACACCCCAAAATATCTAAGTTTTAAGCATACATTTTATGTGAACATGCATAAATACTATCAGTGTTTTAAAGAGGGCGGTTGATTCTGTTTGAATCGAATTGTGTTTGTAGTAATTGTTCATCTATTGTAAGACCTTAGCTGTCAGTCAATTTTTCAACATGTCATTTGGTGTTTGTGGGTCATTAAAAGACAAATTGAGAAAGACTGTAAGACTAACAAATATGATTCGTACTAACATTATTGGAATTTACTTCGTTATATGATTGACATGTTTTTAAAATAAAAGTAATTCTGATTCATTTGTTAAGGTAAAAGCCAAATAGACTGATGTATGCCAAGAAAATAAACAGTAAATGGGCACTGAAAAGCTGAACATTTTGAAAATTGTAGTGCAAGTAGTTTTATTTTTTAGTATTATTATTTTTTCTTTTATTTATTTTGTTAGATGTCATGTTAGCTATATTTATGCCCTGAGAAACTTTTGCATGCAAGACAAAACTGAGGCAGTGCAGTGTGGTGTAGCCTAGGAGTCATGTGACGTGCATAAATGTGTAAATTGATTTAGTAAAATTGAGTAAAATGATGCTCTATCAAACATAAAAACTGTACGAATATTAATTTCTCAAAAATTAACCCAGTTTAACATTATCTCAATTTACAGTTTGAAACTAAATTTGAACACTGTATTATTTTCATTCAAGGAGGCATCTCTTCATTCTTTCTTCCACCATAGAACAGAACACTTTTGTCTATTTGACATGTACATGCATTGCATCAGCTGTATAGTATTTTTCAAAAAACTTACAGCAGAGTGGTACAAGCTTGTGGAGTGTTTGATTTAATGTATATTCACATAATATAAAGAGAATATCTGCATCTGTTGTCCAAACACTTTTATAGCTAGCACAAATTAACAGCATGAAAACTAGGCCAGCAGTCCACATGAGCCTATCCACTGTACTCCTGTGTGAGTGCTTGATTATTCATCATATTGCAGGAAACACCATGCTTTCCAGGATTATTTCAGTACATGCAATGCAAATACACATAGAAGTATAACTATGCGCACACAAACGTGAACACCTGCATAGTCATTTCACCTAATCTGTCCAGGTGCATTAAAGCACTGCATCAAAGTGGGACATGATTGCTTACAGTAAAATCTGCTGGGGGTTGCTCGCGATAGTTTTGTCCATCTTGCACTCCATGTGAGGCTCTGAAGGGTTGCAGCAGCCCATAAAGGTGCGCCAGCCTCTTTTATCTAAAAATAACAATAATGATAACAAAAATGTGGCGCTTAAAAGGAAGCAGAGGGCATGAATAATTGAGTAACACACAGAGATACACGTTCTCTGTGGTATGGTCTCGGAGTATTGGGGTCAGATGCTCGCTCTGTGTTCCAGGGAATCTCTCCCATGGGCACGACTCTGAGCTCATTCCACTTGATGCCTGAATGAAGAGCAATTTCATTATAGGGCAATGCTATCGGAGTGTCTGATTTAACAAGTCGCCAATATTCTGTTGTAATCAACACACTTATCGTGCTGGAACTTGTCCATTTCATAGAGAAAGATAATTAATTCAAGTTATTTCAAGGATTGCCTTCTCCTGAGACTACAGTATAAAAATGTTTTGTCAGCTAACCTATAAAACGTGCTATAAAACTGGTTTTATTTAGGTTCAACATGATTTTATATAACCAAATCAACCTTACAACCTTATGACTACCACCAAAGTAAAAGGTTTTTAAGGGTCAGCTGAGGCAGAAGTGGCTTTTTAAGGTAACTGCCCAGTGAAGAAAAGAAAAGGGGGCAGTTTTGGAAGATTCGAGATGCAATGATGCAGTTATTCTTAGACTTTTCAAAATACTACATGTAATAAACCATCCTAATAATTGTAAACACAATAAAATTCTTATATGATAATATAAAAATATAGTTTAATTGTATTTATAAATCTCTATAATGGAGGTTGGATATGTAAATAATCAGAATAACCACCAGTGAATCACAAGCTACAGACAACTTCTGTTAAAATAAACAATAACACATCTTTGATTTAATAGAAAGGTGCCTTGTCTGAATGAGACATAGTTGGTTTATCTACATACAGCTAGGTCTAGCTTAGAAACCATGTCAAATCAGCTGCCATTGAAAGCGATATCATAATTTGTAGAGACATGGGATGCCATGTCTAATCAATTTTACCATACCATATGTACCATATTAACCAAAAGGTTTGAGTATGTAATTTTTTATTTGTCTTATGGCAATTTAATAATGTGATAAAAAATTACAATTTGGTATTTATTAACCGACTCAAATGTCAGTGTCACATGATCTTTCAGAAATCGTTTGTGTATGTTGATTTGCTGGTAAAGATTTTTACTAGACATACTAGTACCGTTTGCCTCACAACTGCCTTGATTCTTTGCGGCGTAGATTCAACAAGGTACTGCGAATATTTCTCAGAGAATTTTATCCATATTGACATGATAGCATCAAGCAGTTGCTGCAGATTTGTCAGCTGCACATTTATGATGTGCATTCGCCTCAGGGTTCGACGTGTTGTCCGTTCAGAGATCCTCTTCTGCATACCTTGATTGTAACGAGTGGTTATTTAAGTTACTGTTGCCTTTCTATAAGCTCAACCAGTCTGGCCATTCTCCTTTGACCTCTGGCATTAACAAGTCATTTGCGCCCACAGAACTGCCGCTCACTGCATATTTTCTCTTTTTCTAATCATTCTCTGTAAACCCTAGAGATGGTTGTGTGTGAAAATCCCAGTAGATCAGCAGTTTCTGAAATACTCAGACCATCCCATCAGGCATCAACAACCATGCCACGTTCACTTAAATCACCTTTCTTCCCCATTCAGATGCTCAGTTTGAACTGCAGCAGATCGTTTTGACCATGTCCACGTGCCTAAATGCATTAAGTTGCTGATTAGAAATTTTTGTTAATTAATGGTTGAACAAGTGTACCTAAAAAGTGGCCGGCAACTGTATGTCATATATGTGAAAAAATACACAGGCTTGTATAACAGTTAGATATAAATAATAAAATTGTCATAAATTACATATTTTTTTTTTTTTTCAGAAACAGAACACAAAAACACAAAATGAGTAACATCTACGAATCTGCTGCCACCACACTGGGCATCTTTAATAGCCCATGCCTGACAAAAGTGGAGCTCCGTGTCGCCTGTAAAGGAATATCTGACCGGGATGCTCTATCCAAACCTGACCCCTGTGTCGTCCTCAAGATGCAGTCCCATGGACAGTGGTTTGAGGTGTGTTTATCTTAAAGTTTTCTATTGTCTATAGCACAAACACACACACACACACACACACACACACACACACACACACACACACACACACACACACACACACACACACACACACACACACACACACACACACACACACATATATATATATATATATATATATATATATATATATATATATATATATATATATATATATGTGGTGCCCTAAATAGAAACTATTTAAAGAAGTGTCGGTTTGTATGTAAGGCAATCAGAAACTCCCATTCCTCGCTTTGAACCACTAAAGTTTTGATGATAAGTTTACAGCATACAGAACTTCAATGATAATCTGTTCTGAGCAGAAGCTTACTTATGTAATGCATGAGAACTGAGTCTTTATGTTAATTCATGTGTGTGCCTGTTAGTGCTGATTAGCGTTCTGAGGCTGTGCTGTGTATGTAATATAAAACAGCAATGTTAGATGACAGAAAGCACTCTTACTGGCATACTGTCTTGTGCCTTGCCAATAAAAACAAAGATGCTGACATGAAGTGCTGCAGTGGCCTGTTGGTTTTTGCTACATTTCTGTAAAAGGTTTCAGTTGCAGCAAAAAACAGGTGTTTCTGGAACCTGGGAGTTATGCTTGGCACAGTTAACGGTATGATCCATAATTAATAAGGCAGTGCCATTTGAACTCCAGCTGTGAGCATTAAAGTAAAAAAAAAAAAAGAGCGTTTGAAACCAGTGAAGAAAAGGTCTTGCTTAAAGCTCACATTTGACTTAAAATAAGTGTTTTTCTTAGTTTGTTTTTAACTAAGCAGTTTTTAAAACCATTGCAATTATTTCCTTCACTTACTTTTGCTGCTTGTTTAAAATTTTAAATAAGTTGAAACAATTCTTCCTTTTTGAACAAGTTCATTGTGTCATGTTGTTTATCAGTCATTTTAAAACATTATTAAATCAAATGTTCCCCTTATTATTATAGTCAATGTGATTAAAAATATATGATATTTAATGTAATAAATCACTTATTAAAATCATCTACTTAACATCTTCTCATTCCAAAATAGTGTAACATAAAAACCTAAGCAGAATTTTAGTTTCCTTTGAAAATGAACTGTCACTTCAAGTCAAAAAAAAATATATTTATATAAACAAATAACAGCCATCACTTAAAGTGTTATATTTTACTATCAAAATGTAGTATATTTTATATCATTATCAACTTTTGATATAAAAACGCTATGTAAATTGATTGTTAAAAATGAAATAATTTAAGTGCTATATTTTTATTAGTGAAAGTGCCTACTCACGTTTAACAAGGCCTGTCCAATAGTATATTTCTGCTACTATAATACAAATGAACTAATATTGTACAATTATCATTGTTTTTTTTTATTTATGTTCAGAGATTTTAAATATATTGTATATTTCCCCTCCAATAATTTTCAATCATCATGTTACATTTTGGTCATATTCCCTCCGAATAAAATTTAGCCATTTGACCTCTAATCAAATAGGGATGCTGTGACATGTACCTATTTAGCACCCCTATTTGATAAAGCGACATAGCAGTGTTTAGTCACGCGGTTGCTTTCATTTTTATGAACATGAAAAAAACTAGTTTCGGCTATTATTTAAGATTAATTGAACAAAGGGAGCCGTTTACATTGCGTTACCAAGGCAACTACTGATGCATTTTGTTTAATGTTTCAAAGAGCTTTGTTGCAGCACTGCAGGGGAAAATGAAACCATATCTGTGCTGTCTGGCCCGGTTTGGCACGGAATGGAATGGTTCTGCTTAAAGAATGATTTAGCACAATAGTGGAAAAGCGGCTAATATGTTTATATTTAGCTCGGGTGAAAATGAATGCTAACGAAAGCATAGTTAATTATTTATTTTTGGGATCACTCAACACATTAGTAATTCTACATGATCCCTATTGTGTATTGGTTCAGTCATTATTACCTGAAAAGCAAAACAAGTCATTATATGGAACATGATAAGTGAAATGATATAAGAGCAACACTGCAGTGGGATTTTAATGTTCGTGCCTTTTTGTACAGAGCGTGGAGTACTTTTATTTATATTTAATGTTGGTTTATAGTTCGTTTTGGGAGTAAGATTTTTGAGTTAGCATTAGTTTATGGAATAACTAAATAACAAACAATGGGCGATACGTACTTTGTTAATGTAAGTTTGTTTCCTCATGCTACCTTAGGCCAATGTATTAAAAGTCATTAACAAATAAATGAATTAATAAATGCATGACCATTATTTTAAATTATCATGAATATAAACTTATTATTAAAGGTTGCTCATTTTTTGATATATGGCAAATTGATATTAAGTACATATAAGCTACTTGCTATTGGAATTTTCATTGTACTGCCTTTAATTTACACTTATTTAAGAAAACAATGCAATTTACCGTATATAATAGGAATTAATTACTAGTGCTGTGAACTTGAGACTTCAAATTTGAAGGCTTGTGACTAAACACACAAAGAGAGAAAACTTATGATTAGACTAAGATTTTGACAACTCATGGCTTGAGTTAATCTTGAGAACTCTGAATCAGAAAGACTTTATACACGTATGATCACGTGAGTATTGTTGCACACTATAGCTGGCACTAAGCCAGAGAGGGACTCGCAGCACTTTTATATAACATCTGTTCAGTGTTAACACACACATGTTCAAATATTTGAATTCACTGACAATACTAACAAAAACAAAAAAAAACAAGTCAAAACATTTTTAGCTGTCATCGAAAGCGATATCATAATTTGTAGAAACATGGAATGCCATATGTCTAACAAATTTTACTATACCGTATGTACCATAATAACCAAAAGGTTTGGGTATGTAGATTTTTTATTTGTCTTATAGCAATTTAATAATGTGATAATAAATTACAATTTGGTATTCATTAACCCACACATTTTAGTGTCACATGATCTTTCAGAAATTGTTTGAGTTTGTTGATTTTATTTTATTTTTTTAACAAATAAGAAAAGATTTATTTAATAAGTAATAAGGTAAAACTCTTGTTTTAAAATTTTTTTATTATTTTTTTTGTCACTTTTGTTCAGTTAAATGTGTCCTAGAAATTTGAGAGTGGGGCTGCACAATATTGGAAAAATGTCCTTACAACCGGACAAAAGGACAGTGGAATGAACTGCCAACTTTTCCAGCACATGTTTTACGCAGCGGATGCTCTTCCAGCTGCAACCAATCTCTGGGAAAAGAACGATGCTATCAATAGTGCTATTTGGAAAGAATTTATTCATTTAAATTAATTGTGATGAATGTGCAGGGGAGAAAATCATGCATAAAATACAATAAACTAATTGCAGGTAGGGCTGGGTGATTAAAATCATTATGGTATTTATCACCATTATCGAACACCATTGTTAATAATGATGAAAAAAGTTTGGTATGAAGTTTCGGTATGAAGGCTATAGTTTTGTTAAAATGTGGCTGCTGAGCACACGCTTTGCAAGCAATCCCAATAAGTGTGTAAGTTTTTCATTTACAATGGAGGCAAGTGACTTATAAATAGGGAGGGACACATTTTCCAGGTACTCCTAGTTGAAAAACATCAACACTCTTCCGAATTATTCAAATTAATGTAAGTAGAACTAACTAATCTGCTTCACACTTTGGAGTATACTCATTTCAGTGATAACGGTAGACAAACACAGCGGGCTCTATTTTGATGGTCCATGTGCAAAACGGAAAGCGCAGGGCGCAAACGCTTTCAGGGCGTGTCAGAATCCATATTTGCAAATTTAAGGACGGGAAAATCCGCTTTGCGCCATGGCGCACGGTCTAAAAGGGTTGAGTTTATTTTCTTAATGAGTTATAGGTGTGTTTTGAGAATAAACCAATCAGAGTCTCATCTCCCATTACCTTTAAGAGCCACCTGCGTCGCGTCATAAGCGCATTTGCTATTTACAGGACGCAAAGTAAGTTCACTTTCGCTTTTGCTCTCGTGGATAGGGCAACTTTTACGCACAGACATCGATTAGCCTATAAATAATTAGTTTTGTTAGTTAAGCGCAAAGATTTGTTTCAAAACTATCAAAACTAAATTCAGTTCTAATTTCCAGCAAACGAATAAATGAACAATATTAACGAAGTGTGGTCAAAATACTGAGTTATTTCCAAATACACCTGCTATGCCCCATATGGTCTAAAACCTAAAAGGTGGACAAATCTAAGGTTGTTTTTAATAAAACAAATATAAATATGGACGTAATAAATAATACTGCTAATAATAATAACATTATACAAAAGCAAATTGAGTATGAAAGTATGAAAGCAGTGGTTTTTAAATTCATGTAGGCTAGAAATTAATATGTTTTGTAATATTATAATTATTTATATTTATATCCTATATATATCCTTAATATAATATATCTTTTTCATATGTAAAGATATTTGCTTATTGCTCTACATCTTGTGTGTAGTGTGTAAGCCAGGCGCACTTTGCGCCAGACAATAGACCGACTTTGTTCTGGTCTAAAGAACAGACTATTCACAGTTTCTCAAAATAGTAACGCGCCAAAACACGCCTGCTTTTTTAGACCAGAATGCCTATGGGCACACATTTGAGCGCAAATGCATTTGCTATTTAAACAGTGTGGCGCAACATCTCAAAATGACCCCTGCGCCGAGGTGAAAGTGGCAAATAGCAATTGCGTTGCGTCTTGCGCCACTTCGCGCAGGTGTATGATAGGGCCCAGCACATCCAAACACTGCTGTGATTTTTACTTTTCCTTATAAACTTGTAATGGAGCTGCAGCAACAATTGATGGTCACCTAGTTACAGAAAGAGCGCAGGGGAGCACAAGTGCAAAGCGCATTGAAAATGAAGGAAACCACACGCTCAGGCTTTTCATGTGTGAGTTTTGGGTTGCGTCATTGTCTCTTAGGTCAGAATAACAACACACGCAAAAATGATTGCCATGGCTAGCAGCAGTAAAGAGATTGTAAATTTAAAAAAAGGATCTAAGGATGTCGACAGAGTGGCTTTTTTGTGTGCATCCCAGCCACTAGCACCCTATCTGAAAGATTTTTTAGCATAGGGGATAATGTAGTCATCCAACTTCACAATTTGTAATGTTGCGATATGTATTTGAATAATGATGGTTGGTTCCTTTTCTTGAAAGTACAGATTTGATTATCATAATTTGTTTTGTTAACAGAGTTTGAGGTTTACTGTTTCATTATTATTGACACCTCAAAGTTTGCTTTGATTATTCAGCATTTACACTTTCCCATTGCACAAATTTTGTAACATTTTATTTATCAAGTTTAAGAGTCTCTTTAACACTTTTGTTTATTTTATTATAAAGAGATAAGATATTTTGTTTAAATATTTTTGGTTTTGACTATTAAAACTTTTTGCCTTACACTGTAAATGTCAAAGTTAAGGTTACTCAAACCGTTTAGGCAAACCGATTGCAACAAACCATTCAAGTTCAAAACCTAATCCTAAAGAGTACTGTGAACTTAATCTATTTAAGTACACAAAGCAATCTGAGTACTATAAAACAAACTAAGTTAAGGCACCTCAAACTGTTTGAGGAAATCGATTGCAACAAACCATTAAAAAAAAAATCTAATGAGGTATTTAATTAACTAATTGCCTTCAACACTGAGTGCAAAACTTATTTCAAATGAGTAGATTTAACTTTCAGTAAATTTTGAGTAAACTACACTAATTTTGTTTGATAAAGTTGACTATCGGGTTTTACAATGTAGTAATGTTGGTCAATTAAAATAAAGTGGTTTAACAAAAAAATACTAATATTCCTCAATGGACTGGTAAAAATTATTCAATAATTATTAATACCGAATGATATAAAACATGATATTATGATAATGTTTTTGCAAAATATCCCAGCCCTAATTGCAAGCATAAATAGTACAGAGCAGAGTTAAAAAAAAAAAAGTTTGATAAACAGTGCTTTATGGTTTTCAGTGTAGTCTAGTGGTTTTTCAAGTGGTATTTAGAGACACAGATAATCAAATGTAAATAATTGTATAAATAAAAAAAATGGTACAGTTTATTGTGCCTGAATGCTTTAAACTCTCTTGTGCTTTAAAAAAAGATAGAAATGATAGACTTGCATTCCATTATGGTATTAACTCTGCAGTAACTCCACAAATCTCATGTGTTGTGAACTGTGGCTCCTAGCCAATTGCATATCTTGCAACTGTTGAGGATGCACACATTGCGATATCAATGCTGAAAAAATTTATTGTGCAACCTTACTGTGGAGGCAGCAATAATAAACTAAACAGCATAAATGCAAAATAAGGTAAATAATAATATGAATTATTATTTTTACTATTAAATTTGATCAATGTGTACTTTCTGAATTCAAGTATTAATAACAGCAAGGCTTCATCATATTGACTATTGATGGCACATGGGACTGAGTATAATAACATTTTTAAGAATCAGAAGCTTGTTATTGTTGTAAATTCCTTAAATCCTGTGAGAAAATCAATAATCAAGCGCAGAAATCTCACCGCTTTTGCTGAAGGGTGATTGGCATTGATTTGAATGTTAACTGAGGCAATTCAGGATATACAATGAACTGAGGAAAATCCTTTTCACAATCAAATAGACAGCCTGCAATTCAATAGGATGAAATATTCTTGATCCCAAAAGGTAATATCATTTAACGTGTTCTGATTTGTTCCAGGTGGATCGGACAGAAGTGATTCGCAGCAGCATCAGTCCAGTTTTCTCCAAAGTCTTTACAGTGGACTACTATTTTGAGGAAGTGCAGCGCCTTCGTTTTGAGCTTCATGACATCAGCAGCAACCATAATGGACTTAAAGAGGCTGACTTCCTGGGCGCCATGGAGTGCACACTCGGACAGGTGAATGTACACTTAACTGAAGCGCAGTAGGGAAGACGAAGGCGTATGAGTGCTTGGGAGAGAGAATGAGAACATGACTGGGATTGTGTGGAGTCAAAAGACAGAGCTCATGAGAGCAGGAAAGTGGTTGGTGGGCAGATGGACGGTTATTCTACACTCTTTTTATCTGGTTTATAAAAAGACGATTCTACAAAACATATAGTAAGAGGGTAAAAAGGGCTTTAGGGAAGGAAGGTTCATGTGTGATGTATATAACAATAACTGTGACCCTGGACCTCAAAATCAGTCTTATGTTTATATGTTATATTTTCCATTCATTAATTTTTTTTTTGGCTTAATCCCATTATTAATCAGGGGTCACTACAGCTGAATGAACCACCAACTTATCCAGCATATGTTTTACATATTGGATGCCCCTCCAGCTGCCACCCATCACTGGGAAACGGTCATACACTTTTATCCACACACATACACTATGGACAATTTAGCTTACCCAATTCACCTATTCACCTAAACCAAAGCACACGGAGGAAACCCATGCGAACATGGGGAGAACATGCAAACTCCACACAGAAATGCCAACTGACCCAGCCAAGGCTCAAACCAGCAACATTCTTGCACCGACTGCACCACTGTGCCACTCTTTGTTATAATTTTTTGGAACAGCAACAAATACATCACCAAAGCTGCATGTCAGTAAAAACTATAAAAGAGGATGCTTCACTCATACAACAGCAGTCCTGGTTTGTGGATCATTTTTATTTGTACAGTAGCTATAACAAGTCTCCATACAGTGGCATATATTTACTTGTATGGCGAGTAGATGTGCAAAAACAGTGCAACATGTTTGGGTGTGTGTGCACAGCGAACATCGTAATGACATTTGTGTGTGGCTGATTCACTGCATACTGATACACTCCACAAAAACCACATTGAATAACCATTCAGAAACTTCCTGCTTCAGTCTTACTTGGGTGTTGGTGACTGGTCTCTGATTCATGTCTGAGTTGCTGTCCATGTGTGATGTGTTTATCTGATAGTGAGTGGGTGGGGAGAACCAGCTCATTTGTATTTAAAGGCACAGGTTAAAAACAGCTAAAATACCCTCTGAATTTACATTTTCATCACAGCAATTTACATATACAGTTGAAGTCAGAATTATTAGCCCCCCTGTTTATTTGAATTTTCCCCAATTTCAGTTTGACTGGGAGAAGATTGTTTTTATCACATTTCTAAAGACAATACTTTTTATTACTTATTTCTAATAACTGATTTATTTTATCTTTGCCATGTTGACAGTAAATAATATTTTACAAGATATTTTTCAAGACACTTCTATATAGCTTAAAGTGATGTTCTAAGGCTTTGCTAGGTTAATTAGGTTAACTTGTCAGGGTAATAAGGCACGTTATTGTATAACGAAGGTTTGTTCTGCAGAAAAATTTTTATATTTATTGCAAAAAAAATATAACTTAAAAGGGCTAATAATTTTGACCTTAAAATGTTTTTTAAAATATTTAAAACTGCTTTTATTCTAGCTGAAATAAAACAAATAAGACTTTCTCCAGAATGAAAAATATTATCAGACACACTGTAAAAATTTCCTTGCTCTGTTTCACATAATTTAGGAAATATTTAAAGAAGAAAAAAATTCAAAGGAGGGCTAATAATTCTTGACTTATTTAATGTAATTTCATCTTTTTAATGACTTCAACTCTACATCAGCAGAGCATTATAAACGATCTGATGGCTATTTTGAGCTGAAACTTTACAGACTTGTAAAATTGGCAAAATAGGAGCCCTTTAACTTTTTATCAAAATGCACACTAGGGATGTGGAGTCAGTTTTAAAAGAGCCAATTCCTTCACTCTCAATGGACCTAGTAGTGGAATTGACTCCAGGACAGGAATCTACTCCCAGAGCCGAGTCAGTTTTTTCAAACTCTCCTGAATGAAGCAGTTACATACAACAGTTAAATGCTTACTCTCGAGCACGATGAACACTGAAGGCGCCCACTTTGAATGCATGCTCACAGGTTTTATGATTTTGCTTTTAAATTTCGTGATTGTTTCCAGATTATTTTGCTCACTTAGTACTCAATATTTAAGTTTTAAACATTTATGTTAAGAAGACATTTAGACTATTTTATGATTTTATGATGGGCTCAATTGGGCTTTTTTAATTTGTTAATGAAGTGCTAGACACCTTTCCATTAAAATTTTCTATAATAAATTGATGGTTTAATTTTCTCTCTCCAAGATTGCCATGTAATTTTCTGAATTATCTAAACTAGACAATTAAAATATGCTATAAAAAAGTGTAGGCTGATAACTATTTTATTTTCACTGCAGATGATTTAAACTGCTGGTTTTGTCTGACCAGAAGAGATCTGCACATTGGAAAAATCTGCAATTGATGCAGTAGCATTGTATAAAGCATGATATGATAAAGCATGTTTAATCATTTTGCTATTTTAAATGAATGTAAATCGAGTCGATTCCACTGACTCCAAAATTAGGAGTCAAAAATTGGAGTTGACGCCACAAAACCCAGAACCAAACACCCCTACTCCACACTTCATTTGAACTATGTGGCTGCTGTTATTATAAATGCACAGTGCCTGACATCAAATGGTTGCAATATGGACAAATAAAATGGCCAAACTCTCCACTTTGGGCTTTTAGTAAACCACAGCTAATAAAAGAGCTTACACTATCACTGGATGTATGCCAAAACCAATAACCAATTACCTTTTCGAAGGGTCCCATTAAAAATGGGACATTATGGGTCGCTATTTTGGTATTTCTGACTATAGAAATGGAAATAAATGCATATTCATTTAATAAATATTATAAACACTATAGTGTTAAATAAATTATTTTTTATTATTTCATTTCCCAGTGATGGGTTGCAGCTGGAAGGGCATCCACTGCATAAAAATATGCTGAAAAGTTGGTGGTTCATTCCACAGTGGTGAGCCCAGATTAATAAAGGGACTAAGCCAAAAGGAAAATTAATATTATTTCATCTCCGGATGTGAGGATTGTCTATTATCCATACATCACAACAGCTTTAAATATCTTGGGTTTTTTTTAATTCAAGAAGTTCTGGAGAACTGAACACAATACTTAATTGTCTAACTACTGTGTCAGCATCTGTTCTTTTATTTTTGCGCACACATGCAGTTGGTATTCATTTCTTGTTTAGTCACCTGATTTTCCATAATTGATGTTATGAACTTTAACAATTCTGACAGTTGGTAAGGCTTGGAAAGTAAGATCCCAGAAGGCACACAACATCTTATCATGTTGATTTTTTGTTCTATTTTGGTTGCACCATCTGGTTTTACATCAGTTTGCTGTCTAATACTGACGACAGCTGCCGTTTATAATTGGTTGGTTTTAGGCTGTGCTAATTGCTAACCAAAACCCAATATCATTTTAATGTCATGATATGACATTTATACAACATTCAACAGTCTAACATCAGTACACATTTTATTTGGTTGTTTTTATGTTGTGAAATTCATTCATTCATTTATTCATTTTCCTTCAGCGTAGTCCCTTATTTATCAGGGGTCACCACAGCAGAATGAACCGCCAACTATTCCATCATATGTTTTACACAGCAGATGCCCTTCCAGCCGCAACCCATTACTGGAAAACATTCACATTCACACACGCACTCTACATACACTACAGTCAGTTTTGTTTACCCAATTCTTCTATGGGGCATGTGTTTGGAATGTGGGGCAAACCAGAGGAAACTCATGCCAACTTGGGGAGAACATGCAAACTCCACACAGAAATGCCAACTGGCCCAGCTGCAACTTGAACCAGCATCCTTTTTGCTGTGAAGCGACAGTGCCAACCATTGAGCCACGGTGACGCCCCTGATTACCTAACTGAAATGTAATGTCTCTCTAATGTCATAGCGTGACGTCCATACAATGTCAATGTCTACCATCATTAGCTGTTGATATTTATTTTATGTTTGTTTTATCTTGACATTGGAATCTGACCTCAAACTGGTGCTGGGTTACAACATCAATTTTTCGTCTGTGTGACATCCGATGCCTGCTGTGTCCAGTCAAAACAAGTTCAAAAATTAGTGAAGTTTTTATTTCTGTTAAAGCATAACTGAAGTTTTCATTTAGAATGCACTATGTGCCTAAACTATGACATCTTTTAGCCATCTTTTTAAAAGGTTATGTTGTGAACGTAGCTTTCTAGAAATACAGTATTTAAATATATAATACTCATTGCCGGGCGACGCAGTGGCGCAGTAGGTAGTGCTGTCGCCTCACAGCAAAAAGGTCGCTGCTTCGAGCCTCGGCTGGGTCAGTTGGCATTTCTGTTTGGAGTTTGCATGTTCTCCCTGCGTTCACGTGGGCTTCTTCCGGGTGCTCTGTCCGGGTTTCCCCCACAGTCCAAAGACATGTGGTACAGGTGAATTGGGTAAATTGTCCGTAGTGTATGAGTGTGAGTGAGTGTGTATGGATGTTTCCCAGAGATGGGTTGCAACTGGAAGGGCATCCACTGTGTAAAAACATATGCTGGAAAAGTTGGCGGTTCATTCTGCTGTGACAACCCTGGATTGATAAAGGGACTAAGCCGAAAGCAAAATAAATGATTATTAGAACTCTTTTCTAATAATGTTTTTTTTATCTTTGTAATGATGCTAGCACATAATATTTGACTAGATATTTTTCAAGACACTTCTATACAGCTTAAAGTGACATTTAAAGGCTTAACTAGGTTAATTAGGTTAACTAGGCAGGTTAGGGTAATTTGGCAAGTTATTGTATTATGATGGTTTGTTCTGTAGACTATCAAAAAAAGCTTAAAAGGGCTAATAATTTTGTCCTAAAAGAATTAAAAATTGCTTTTTATTCTAGCCGAAATAAAACAAATAAGACTTTCTTCAGAAGAAAAAACATTATCAGACATACTGTAAAAATTTCTTTGCTATGTTAAACATCATTAGGGAAATATAAAAAA